TTTTATTGCGCAAAAAATAAAATACCACCGAAAGAAAGCTCAATTTGTGGGAAAAAAAAGGATGTAAATTTCATTTATGTACCTTATTGCATGGCCGCGCAATTGTCCGTTAAACTAGCGCAGCGCTGTATAGCAAAAAAATGGCGTAAATTGCAGTATCTATACCATAGTTTGTAGACGCTATAACTTTCACACAAAGCAATCAATATACACTTATTGGGATTTTTTTTTACCAAAAACATGTAGCAGAATACATTTTGGCCTAAATTTATAACCAACTTTGAGTTTACTATATATTTTTTATAGCTGAAAGTAAAAAATATTGTTTTTCTTCAAAATTTTTGGCCTTTTTTTGTTTATAGCGTGAAAAATAAAAAGCGCACAGGTGATCAAATACCACCAAAAGAAAGCTCTATTTGTGTGAAAAAAAGGACGTAAATTTAGTTTGGGTGCAGCATTGCATGACCGCGCAATTATCAGTTGAATTAGTACAGCGCCGAGTAGCAAAAAGAGGCCTGGTCATTAAGGGGGGTAAATCCTCTGGAGGTCAAGTGATCATGATGTACCAGTATGCACTGCATACTAGTACATTAATGACAGACTTACCTGCAAACGAAGCCCTCCAGCAATGCGCTGTCAGGGCTCTCCCTTGTCCACAGTGGTTCCATCTTCACCTAGTCTTCTATCCAGGTTTTGTATCCTCAGCTGCTTGATTGGCCGGGCAGAGGTAACATTAGTCCCACGCATGCAAGTGGGAGTAAGATCACTATGGCATGCCGAGTGGGCTGTAAATGTGGTCTGAGCTGCACATGTGTGCTCAGATCACATTACCTGCTGACAGGCAGGGATGACTGTGACTGAAGCGTAGACAGGACAGAACGCACACAGAGGATGATAAACACACAAAGTTTTATTGAAATGGGAAAGAGACTCAATCAGGGTAGGAAGGTAGCGTCCGAGTACCCAAAAAAGTACCCCTGAGGGGGGGAGGAGTCCAAACAGTTATAATCCGGCCCACGATAGGGTGATTAGGGTAGCGATGGCCCGAGCACTCGGGGGGAGGGGGGGGCATTCCAGGTTGCTACGAAAATCCAGACACGCAATAGGCAGTCCGAGCAAGTATTAATCCAAGTGGGCAGTTCCGGCAAGGATAATAGATTCAATGGGGCAGTCCAGGCAGGGAAAGTATGGGTGCATTCAGTGGGGCAGTCCAGACAAGGCAATATATGGATGCAAGGGGGCAATTCAGGCAGGAGAATATGAGCACTCACGGTTTAGGCAGGGGTAACTTCCCAGTGGCACACAGCAGTCAGGAGACAGGGACCCATGCAGCACTCCAGGGACACAGCGATTAGCAGGCAGGAACAGCTTTCAAGGGACAAGTAGCGGTCAGCAGACAGGAACAGCTTTCCAGGGACAAACAGTGTTCAGCAGGCAGGGGTAACTTCCCAGGGACAAAGCAGTCAGCAGACAGGGATCACTTTCCGGGGACAAACAGCGATCAGCGGACACTCAGTGGGGTCTGGGCTGTGGGGTCTGGCCTCAGTTCAGACCTCCAAACAGCCGTCAGCGGACAGGAACAGCTTTCCAGGGACAAAGCGGTCAGCAGACAGGGACCCTCACGGTGCTCAGCTTTCCAGGGACAACCAACGGTCAGCAGACAGGAACACCTTTCCAGGGACAAACAGCAGTGAGCAGACAGGAACAGCTTTCCAAGGACAAATGTGATGGATTTGGTAAAATGCCTATTTCGTTTCCTATTGAATATATATATATATATATATATATATATATATATATATATACGCTATTTCTATAAGTTTTATAAATATTTACTTTTATACTTTAATACATATGTGTTGTGTGAATATTTTCTGCCTGCTGGGCTTTGTGGTACTATAAGAAATCCTTGCTTAAGAAATGTCTGCTCACACACACAGACCCCCTCCCACCGTGTGATTTGGAAGACAAAAGAATGTTTTTCTATAGATAAGACTTGGGAGAAGATCACACCTATACCATGATGGAGATTGTTTTCGTGTGGAAATGACCAATCAAAGACTAATATAATGCTTATGCTGTTCTCACATGACTCTTGCATCATTTTGCATATATAAGCTCACGTTCTCATTATAATAAACTAGAAGTGTTCATAGACTGAACTTGTGTGTCAGCGTGAGTCTCTTGCAGTGTGCGCACATTCCAGGGCTGGCCAGCATCATAAATTAGGACAGGAACAGATAAGCACTGGACGATTAAGTCCTCGACTAAATCACAAACACTGGCCAGCGGACCCCCTGGCTGTGGGGTCTGGTCTCAGCTCAGACCCCACACAGCGCTTCTCTCAAGAGCAGGGGACCAACAACGAGCTGGGTCCTGCTCTGGTCTTCTTATGCCGGAGCAGGATGCTTCCTGGTTGCCCCAGCAACGGCCGGCCAAGTGTCAGGTTGCCGGGGCAACGAGGCACACCCCCCTCACTCTGGCCGCGCTCAGGGAGCGTGGACTTTGTCTCCGGTGGGCACAGAGCACGGGAAGCTTTGTGCCCGCGCTGCGCCGGCCGGGGGGGGAGCGCAGAGACACCCCGGCAGCCTGCACTGTGCAGGCCTAGCAGGGTGCCTGACTCCTCCTTGGCTTCACCAAAGAGAGGTGCTAACCACACCACAGGGGGCGTTTCCTTCCATCCTGCACAGCCTTTGATGTTGGCTTGTGCAGGACATTAGGAATCTGCAAGGGGAAGGGAGGGGGGAGGATCAAAGGGGAGCGAGGGGGAGCTGCTGCCACCTGTGAACTGAGGGGAGGGGGGAGGAAGGAAGAGCTGGCAAGGGGGAAGACCATGAAAATGTATTTATTTTATTTATTTGAGGTACTTATATAGCGCTATCAATTTCTGCAGCGCTTTACATATATATTGTACATTGACATCAGTCCCTAACCCTCAAGGGGTGTACAATCTAAGGGCCCTAATTTACTTTCATACATACACATACTAGGGACAATTTAGGCAGGATTCAATTAACCTATCAGTATGTGTTTGGAGATGGGAGGAAACCAGAGTACCCGGAGGAAACCCACGCAGGCACAGGGAGAACATGCAAACTCCAGGCAGGTGGTGCCGTGGCTAGGATTCGAACCAAAGTCCCTAGTACTGCCAGGCGGAAGTGCTAACTATGTAGCCACTGTGCTGCCCATCAGTAGATTTTTTAATTACAGACTTTACTTCCACTTTAACAGGAGACTGATAGGAAAAACATAGCAGCTTCTCTGTTTGACAGAAAAGCCACAGTTGTTTAGTGAGGACATCCTGTGTACCTCATAGTGCTGCTGCTGCTATTGACTCCTCTGTATCCAGGAGACCTTGGCAGGAGTGACCTATTCAGGTCAGCAGCATGAACATGGATGCAATTTCAGCCAATTACAGGGAGTGGTGCTCCTGAGCATACTAGGTACTAGTATTTATATTCAGTAAGCACATGGGATCTGGGTTTATCTTCCTCTTCCTCTGAGAAAGGAGTTCCAGCCAGGGGAGGCGGTTGCTTCCCTGGCTCATGCTGCCAGGAGACCTCGGGTGGACGAGCCGAGGTCCAGAATGCAGACACCCAGGGGGATGTCTATAAATCCTGTTTGGTATCACAGACGAAGGTGACCTGCAGCAAGGGCTTTGTGAGTACAGAATGTTCTACATTGATGCTGAGACTTGTGCTGTTTAACCCCCCCCCCACTCGGGATCTACATAGTCAGCTGTTGGGTATAAGCTAGAGGGAACACCAGCTGGAGTCCAGAAAAGCAACTGTCCAGTAAGTCCTTCATTTCTACAGAGGGATTTTGCTCCATTCTTTGTACAGTTTGCTACACAGATCTACTTATTAAAGCTGTTCTCAGTTGTACATACCGTATTTTTCGCTCCATAAGACGCACCTGACCATAAGACGCACCTAGCTTTTAGAAGCAAAAAACAAGAAAAAAAATATTGTGAACCAATGGACTGCAGACAAAGTACAGGGGATGACCAGAGGCTGCAGACACAGTACAGGAGATGAACAGAGACTGCGGACACAGTACATGAGATGACCAGAGACTGCGGACACAGTACAGGAGATGACCAGAGACTGCGGACATAGTACAGGGGATGACCAGAGACTGCGGACACAGTACAGGAGATGACCAGAGACTGCGGACACAGTACAGGAGATGACCAGAGACTGCGGACCCAGTACAGGAGATGACCAGAGACTGCGGACACAGTACAGGAGATGACCAGAGACTGCAGACACAGTACAGGAGATGACCAGAGACTGCGGACACAGTACAGGGGATGACCAGAGACTGCGGACACAGTACAGGAGATGACCAGAGACTGCGGTCACAGTACAGGGGATGACCGGAGACTGCGGACACAATACAGGAGATGACCAGAGACTGCGGACACAGTACAGGGGATGACCAGAGACTGCAGACCAGAGACTGCGGACATAGTACAGGAGATGACCAGAGACTGCAGACACAGTACAGGAGATGAACAGAGACTGCGGACACAGTACATGAGATGACCAGAGACTGCGGACACAGTACAGGAGATGACCAGAGACTGCGGACATAGTACAGGGGATGACCAGAGACTGCGGACACAGTACAGGAGATGACCAGAGACTGCGGACACAGTACAGGAGATGACCAGAGACTGCGGACACAGTACAGGAGATGACCAGAGACTGCGGACACAGTACAGGAGATGACCAGAGACTGCGGACACAGTACAGGAGATGACCAGAGACTGCGGACACAGTACAGGGGATGACCAGAGACTGCGGACACAGTACAGGAGATGACCAGAGACTGCGGACACAGTACAGGAGATGACCAGAGACTGCGGTCACAGTACAGGGGATGACCAGAGACTGCGGACACAATACAGGAGATGACCAGAGACTGCGGACACAGTACAGGGGATGACCAGAGACTGCAGACCAGAGACTGCGGACATAGTACAGGAGATGACCAGAGACTGCGGACACAGTACAGGAGATGACCAGAGACTGCGGACATAGTACAGGAGATGACCAGAGACTGCGGACATAGTACAGGAGATGACCAGAGACTGCGGACATAGTACAGGGAATGACCAGAGACTGCGGACACAGTACAGGGGGTGACCAGAGACTGCGGACACAGTACAGGAGATGACCAGAGACTGCGGACATAGTACAGGAGATGACCAGAGACTGCGGACATAGTACAGGGAATGACCAGAGACTGCGGACACAGTACAGGGGGTGACCAGAGACTGCGGACACAGTACAGGGAATGACCAGAGACTGCGGACACAGTGCAGGGAATGACCAGAGACTGCGGACACAGTACAGGAGATGACCAGGGACTGCGGACACAGTACAGGGAATGACCAGAGACTGCGGACACAGTGCAGGGAATGACCAGAGACTGCGGACACAGTACAGGAGATGACCAGAGACTGCGGACACAGTGCAGGGAATGACCAGAGACTGCGGACACAGTACAGGAGATGACCAGAGACTGCGGACACAGTACAGGAGATGACCAGAGACTGCGGACACAGTGCAGGGAATGACCAGAGACTGCGGACACAGTACAGGAGATGACCAGAGACTGCGGACACAGTACAGGAGATGACCAGAGACTGCGGACGTAGTACAGGAGATGACCAGAGACTGCGGACGTAGTACAGGAGATGACCAGAGACTGCGGACACAGTACAAGAGATAACCAGAGACTGCGGACACAGTGCAGGGAATGACCAGAGACTGCGGACACAGTGCAGGAGATGACCAGAGACTGCAGACACAGTACAGGAGATGACCAGAGACTGCAGACAGTGCAGGGAATGACCAGAGACTGCAGACAGTGCAGGGAATGACCAGAGACTGCAGACAGTGCAGGGAATGACCAGAGACTGCTGACCTTTGGGGAGGGGGAGGGGGAGCGGGTACCTGAATTTGACAGGTACCCGCTCCCACTTCCGCGGAGTTGTCCTTCCCTCTTCTTCACGGGCCGGCTTCTGTGACAGCTGGGTGCCTACTACGCATGCGCGCGAGAAGCGCTGTGCTTTGTGAATGGCCCAGCGCCTTCTGGGACCTGTCATGTGATCATTCACAAAGCGCAGCACATGCGTAGTGGGCACCCGGCTGTCACGAAGCCAGCGCGGGAAGACTGTGCAGCGCTGGAGCGAGGAACAGGTAAGGCCCTGCAGGAGAGAACAGCTGAGCGGCCGGCTCGGTATTCTGACATGGTGGCAGCAGAAATACCGGACCAGCCGCTTTATATTCGCTCCATAAGACGCACTGACATTTTCTCCCCTTTTTTGGGGGGAAAAAAGTGCGTCTTATGGAGCAAAAAATACGGTAGTTGAATTCGGAGTATCCCACTATATCCCTTCCCTATTCCAGTTCTAAAACAAAATAAAAACAACAAACACTTCAATCCCTAGACTGATCATTGGAGTAACGAGCGGACGTTGTGTGCACCTGGTTATAGAAATTGTGCTTGGCTGTGGGAGTAGATCTAGGGGAAAGCCTTTCCAGATACAAGCAGCTCCTATGAGGATAGGCCAATACAAATGAAGGGATGGACGCTGCTGAACTGACCCCAGGAGTCCAATGTTGAGGAATGGCCACAGCCGCCGTTCTGGCCATGCTTTCTGCTACTTTTCACTCTGCCCACTTGTGACAAAGCCCCCCCCCCCCATGGGTGGGGTGAAACGCGTCAGACTGTGTGGCCAGAACGACTCCTGGGGTCTGTTGAGCAGCGGTCCATCTCTCCACTTGTATTGGCTGACACTGAAATCACTCTGACTCATGCTCCCCTCTTCCCACTTGCTGGTAGGGTGATCCTTTTCCTTCAATCCATAGCTTGGAGCAGCACCATAAGGTATGCTTTTCCTATGAGGGTAGCATTACATAAACAGGTGATCATTCGTTTGCATCCACATCCATCGACATCCATTTTTAAAATAGAACAAAGCCCAGTTTTTGTTCCATTAAAAAACGGAATGGACAATAAACAGATGTAAACAGACAAATGTAAATTTTTTGCTTTGGTAGTGGATGTAAAAAACTAATGAAAAACTGCTAAACGTCATCTGTTTTCTTTGAAAAAAAATGAGACTGAACTGATGAAAGGAATGGTCCTTGCTGGCTTTTAGACACAAATAATACTTCTTTTAGTGTCTTGAGGCGAGGCGATTATGAATGAAAGAGCCGTTGAAATAAAAAATGAAGTGTGATTTTATTCTATCACACAATGGCTTAAAATACAATGTAAAGCGTATCATGAACAGTTCCATGTAGATAAAACTACTGTAGAAATATCAAGCAGAAGTTTAAAGAAAAGTCACCATTATTGTCATGGCTGTCTAACTATGTGCACCTTCCATGTTCTCCTTGTCCTTCTCGAGACTTTGGGAAGAAGCCGGAAGTAGACAGAAGTGACGATCTTGTCTTACAGCCTGCACCTGTTCCAGCTTCTCAGAAGGTTCTCAGACATGTGTGTGTGTGTTATGTATGCAAGAGACTCTGTCCACTGTCCCTTATGGACCTTTTATGAAGCGAATAAGCGTCATAGCTTGGGATTCTTAAGGCCTTGTAAGGAAGTCAGTACTGCTTGGCAAAGCAATATCATAGAAGACAGGGGACACTATATATACAGTCATGGCCGAAATTGTTGGCACCCTTGATATTTCTCCAGGAAATCATGTATTTCTCACGAAACGTATTGCATTAACACATGTTTTGCTATACACATGTTTATTCCCTTTGTGTGTATTGGGACAAAACAAAAAAAAGGGAGGAAAGAAAGCAAATTCGACATAATGTCACACAAACCTCCAAAAATGGGCTGGACAAAAGTATTGGCACCCTTTCACAACTGCGGATAAATAAGAATGTTACAAGCATGTGATGCTCCTGTAAACTCACCTGGGGCAAGTAACAGGTGTGGGCAATATAGAAATCACACCTGAAAGCAGATAAAAAGGAGAGACGTTCACTTAACCTTTGCATTGTGTGTCTGTCTGTGCCACACTAAGCATGGACAACAGAAAGAGGAGACGAGAACTGTCTGAGGACCTGAGAACCAAAATTGTGGCAAAATATCAACAATCTCAAGGTTACAAGTCCATCTCCAGAGAACTAGATTTGCCTTTGTCCACAGTGCGCAACATTATCAAGAAGTTTGCAACCCATGGCACTGTAGCTAATCTCCCTGGTCGTGGACGGATGAGGAAAATTGATGAAAGATTGCAACGCAGAATAGTCCGGATGGTGGATAAGCAGCCCCAAACATGTTCCAAAGACATTCAAGCTGTCCTGCAGGCTCAGGGAGCATCAGTGTCAGCGCGAACTATCCGTCGACATTTAAATGAAATGAAACGCTATGGCAGGAGACCCAGGAGGACCCCACTGCTGACACAGAGACATAAAAAAGCAAGACTACAGTTTGCCAAAATGTACTTGAGTAAGCCAAAAGCCTTCTGGGAAAACGTCTTGTGGACAGATGAGACCAAGATAGAGCTTTTCGGTAAAGCACATCATTCTACTGTTTACCGAAAACGGAATGAGGCCTACAAAGAACAAAACACAGTACCTACGGTAAAATATGGTGGAGGTTCAATGATGTTTTGGGGTTGTTTTGCTGCCTCTGGCACTGGGTGCCTTGACTGTGTGCAAGGCATCATGAAATCTGAGGATTACCAAAGGATTTTGGGTCGCACTGTAGGGCCCAGTGTCAGAAAGCTGGGTTTGCGTCCAAGATCCTGGGTCTTCCAGCAGGACAATGACCCCAAACATACGTCAAAAAGCACTCAGAAATGGATGGCAAAGAAGCGCTGGAGAGTTCTGAAGTGGCCAGCAATGAGCCCAGATCTAAATCCCATTGAACACCTGTGGAGAGATCTTAAAATTGCTGTTGGGAAAAGGTGTCCTTCCAATAAGAGAGACCTGGAGCTGTTTGCAAAGGAAGAGTGGTCCAAAATTCCGGGTGAGAGGTGTCAGAAGCTTATTGATGGTTATAGGAAGCGACTGATTTCAGTTATGTTTTCCAAAGGGTGTGCAACCAAATATTAAGTTAAGGGTGCCAATACTTTTGTCCAGCCCATTTTTGGGGTTTTGTGTGACATTATGTCATATTTGCTTTTCTGCCTCTGTTTTATATTTGTTCCAATACATACAAAGGGAATAAACATGTGTATAGCAAAACATGTGTTAATGCAATACCTTTTTTGTGTGAAATACTTGATTTTCAGGAAAAATATCAAGGGTGCCAACAATTTCGGCCATGACTGTATGATGTTTTTGATGGACAGGTACATATGTTGATGATGTAGCCTCAACTATCATATATAATTATAATATAACTTAAGAACACATCTTTACAACATATCAATGTATAATCACTAATCTATATATGTATCAATATTATAAATTATACTAAATACACACAGATACTATTAAAAATACATTAAGTAATAGTAAGTCTATAATGAGTCACTCCTAATACCCTTGACATTTACTAGAGACTTCTAACCAGCTATGCCTTAATATAGCCTTCAGCTAGTTTAGCTGGTCTCACCTTAACTAACTCATATCTTTCGGTCTCAGCTATAACTTATATCTCAGCTTACTTTACTGAAGAATTAAATAATATCATTGGCTTAAGGTGTCCATTCAAACATATTAATATTAATTATGATTATTCATAAAAACCAAATATTTTGCAAGCTTGCCATCAATATAAGTGCCGAATCATAAATTTGGTTAATAAATTTCTTTCAGTCCTCATGTGTTAAAGGGGCCTTACTTAAAAGAGGGTATTAATTGTGGGGATCGGGGCCATAAGAGGTCATTCTCTGTTTATTTTCATGTAGCCAGGTGATTGGCATAGAATGGGAGTGAGAGAAACACTGGCTGCAGCTGCTCTCTGTAGGTGTTGCCCTGTGGTGCTGGACTGGTGGTTTACAGCTATATCAGCCAGAGGAGGGAGCTACTGAGCAGAGAAAGTTTAATAGACTGAATCAGGGAGGATGTGTGGGAAATGCAGTCCAGAAGAGAGAGACTCTACTGTAATCAAGAGCTTTTGAACTGGTTTTCCCAGAGGGAAATTGCCAATAGGACAGGAAAGAGCTGTATTTTCTTAGGATGTACAGGACACAGTTTTCTCTTGTCATAAGAGAGACTGGGAAGTGCACATCACAGTCCAGTGTGCACCATCACTGCTGCCCATTGACGGCATGAGCGGGATCTGTGCAGACAGACAGAGATAGCTGGGTGCAGAGCAGAGAGAACAGTCCCAGCTTGAAGATGTTGAAGCCCTATGTAGTAACATCAATCATACTTTGAGTCTCCAGGCATGTGAGAATATTTTGAATACTCGGGGTGTTGCTTTCCAACGGCATACCAAGTTCATTTTGGAACTGTTAAGATTTGTGTTGGAGCATAATTTATTTCTCTTTGATGGCAGGATATGCCAACAAAAGAGGGCAATGGGAACAGCAGGTGCTCCCACCTATGCAACCATCTTTTTGGGGTGGTGGGAAAAGATGATGGTTTTCAAAGAGGATCTGGAGGTCTACACATCACAAATTTTGTTGTGGGCGCTGTTCGTAGACAATGTATTCATCCTGTGGCAGGGTCCGAAGGAGACCTTTGATGAATTTGAAGCCCATTTAAACAATAACAACATAGGGATGTTCTTCACCAGTGAAATTCTGGAAGAGAGCCTCAATTATTTAGACCTCAAAATTATGAGAAGTAATGGTGTACCACAATGTATCGCAAACCAACTTCAGCTAACAGCTTACTTTATTGGGAAAGTCATCATCCCACCTCCCTGAAGGTAGGAGTCTAAAGCTGCATTCACACTTGAGCAATTTGTAACTTGAAGCTCAAAGCTCAAAAATGCTTGAGGAGAAAAATGTAATTATTCTTAATGGAGATGGTTCACATCTTCACTCCAAGTCACCTAAACCCAATTGCCTGAAGCTCAAATTCTGGAGCTTTATTTGTAGCTGAAATCAGGCAGATTTGTGTGTTTTTGACACGTTTTTCTTCCCTGCACGTTTTTGTGCGATTTTGCACAATTTTCTGCTTACATGAAAGTTATTAGCCAAAAAGGAAAAGGAAAACAGGAAATGCACAGATCTCCATTTTGTTTAGCAAAATGCACAGATCTCCATGCACAGATCTCCATTTTTTTCATACTAACAGTCAAACATGTTGGTGGTAGTGTGATGCTCTGGGGCTGTTTTGTAGTTTCAGGAACTGGACAACTTGCCATACATTAATTGATGGAACTATGAATTCTGCGCTCTACCAAAAATCCTTAAGGAGAATGTCAAGCCATCAGTTAATTTCCTCAAGCTCAAGTGCACTTGGGTTATGCAGCAGGACAATGATCCGAAACACACTAGCAAGTCCACCTCTGAATAAATACAAAAAAAAAAAATTAAGGTGTCGGAGTGGCCTAGTCAAAGTCCAGATCTTAATCCGATTGAGATGCTGCGGTATGACCTTAAACAGGCTGTTCATGCTCAAAACCCCTCAAATGTGGCTGAATTTGAAGTTCATTTGAACAATAAAAACATAGGGATGTTCTTCACCAGTGATATTCTGAAAGAGCCTCAATTTTTTATACCACAAAATAACGAGATAAAGTAATGGTGCAATTATTACCACAATGTATTCCAAACCAACTTCAGCTAACAGCTTACTTCACTGGGAAAGTCATTATCCCACCTCCCTGAAGGTAGGAGTCTTTTTTTTTAAAATATTTTATTAGATTTTTCAATTTGAAATCTTACATACAGTAAAAACATACTATCTTGTCATTCAATTCTATTATTATAATGCAAATACATATACGAAACTACAATTTTTCCCTCCCCATACTCAACCCTCCCTCTTCCCTCTCCCCCCCTTCCCCCCCGCCCCCTCCTTTCCCTTTCCTTTGCTGCTCTACATCCTTCATTTCTCTTGGAAGTCCTAAAAATTTCATCTTCTTCCTTCACTTATTTTAACTCTAATTCTCTAAATTCTACAAGTTGACTTGATCTCTTAAAGTCCTATTATTTTTCCCATTTTTTATGAAAGCACTCCATTTTATCTTCAATATGATAAAGTTCCTCCATTTTATATATCTGGTCCACCCTTTCTACCCAGTCTTTTATTTTTGGTCCCTCTTGTTCTGTCCAGAATCTGGGTATCAAACCTTTTGCTGCATTTATAAAATACAGTAGACAAGAATTTTTATATTTTTCCACTGTAAGCTCAGTGCCATGAAAAAGACAGATTCCTGGATCTCTTGGGATTTTAATCTCAGTTATCTTCTGAATTTGGTGAATTACTCCCTCCCAATATTCCTGAATTTTAAAACATTCCCACCAAATGTGTCCCATTGTGCCCCTTTCCCCACATCCACGCCAACACGAAAATTAATTTCTCTACATTGTCTATGTGCTATACTCAGTGTAATATACCACCTTGCCAAACATTTATAATTCATTTCCACCTCCTTTATATTTACATTCCCATGTGTTAATCTATAAATATTCTTTTGCTTTTCCTCATCTATTTTTACTCCTAATTCCCTTTCCCATTTCTCCATATATGGAGGGACCGTGACCGTTGTCAATCTAGTGAAAATTTTATTTATTCTAGAAGTCCCATGTTTCCCCTATCCACGTGTTTTAAATAAGTGTTCAAATGGGTTCCATTCATCTCTTGTTCTTAGAGGCCTGGGGAGCTTTCCTATAAAATGTTTTAATTGAAAGTAACGCCACTTATCCAATCTAGTAAACAACTCTTTCTTATTTTTCAATTCAGAAAAAGGACAAATTTCTTCGCCCTTCATTATATCTCTTAATTGTGCATCTTCCTTTTTTATCCACTTCCCCTCAATTTTTTCCTTCCCTGGCGGGAAGAAATCTGTGTCTACTATGGGCATCAACATGGAATTAAATTCCCATCCCATTTGTTTGTGCACTGTATCCCAAATTTTTAATACATTATGTGTATATATATTTGTGCTCTCTACTAATCCTCGATACTGAGGTGGTATCCAAACTATTCTACTCAACTATGTCTTACTTAGTGTATTTTCTATTTTTATCCAACTTTTCTGTGTTTTCTACATTATGTGTCCAATCAAAAATTTGTGCTAACATTACTGAATTATAGTATCTTTTAAAATATGGTACACCCAGTCCTCCATTCTCTTTATCTCTACTTAGGATTTCATAGCTTATTCTAGGTTTTTTATTCCCCCAGATAAACCTTGTTATCATTTTTTTAATTATTCTAAAATACATTCCTGGAAGCTTTATGGGTATCATACGAAATTTATACAAAATTTTTGGAACAATTACCATTTTTATCAAATTTATTCGCCCCATCCATGATAGAACTCCTATCCCTTAATCTCGTTTAATAAAGGGATATAGTTTGCTCTATATAAGTTCTTTGATGATACGGTTAGATATATTCCCAGATATTTTAGTTCTCTTTCCTTCCAAGAAGAGGGGAATTCTTTTTGTAAAATGTGTTTTCTCTTTATTTAGAAGGTTTATAGTTAAGATCTCTGTTTTAGTTGAGTTAATTTTCAAATTTGACAGCTCCCCATATTCTCTCAGTGTTTTCATTAGGTTAGGCAATGTTAGGGTTAACCACATAAAACAGCATATTATCCGCATAGGCTGCTACTTTATGCTCTGTCTCCCCTATCAAAATTCCTTTAATATCTATGTTTTTCCTTTGTGTTGCTAGGAGAGATTCCAGGGACAGGACAAATAGCAATGGTGACAGTGGGGAACCCTATTGTGTCCCATTATGCATCCAAAAGTACTCAGATAGCTCTCCATTGACCTTTATTGCTGCAGAGGGTTGACTATATAGTTTCCTTATCCATTCTCTCATTCTAGGGCCTATCCCCCAAACTTCTAATGTATCCAGCATATATATCCCCAATTTAATCTATCAAAAGCTTTTTCCGCATCAATCGATAATAACAAAGCGGGAGCTTTTTCTTTCTTACTTTTTTGCATCAGAAGCAAAGATCTTAATCCGTTATCTCTACCCTTCCCGGGACAAAACCCACCTGATCTATATGAATCCATTCTGGCATTAGGTCTTTCATTCTATTTGCCAGAACTTTTGCATATAATTTAGTATCAATGTTCAATAGGGATATCGGTCCATAACTAGAGCACTGAGTATCATCTTTTCCCTCTTTCCGTATAATTATTACATGAGCTTGTAAGGATTCCTCCCTCATTTCCATCTTTCCTCCCAATGCATTCGTATATAACCTTAGTTTGGGTATTAATTTAACTTTATATTTTTTTTATTATATCTCACGGTGTACCCATCAGGTCCTTTTCCAGGATATTAACTGTTCTTCTCTTAATTTCGGTAAAACCGTCTTTTTTAGATATGCCTGTCTTTTTATAGTTCTTTCTTCTTCTCTTTTTTATAGGCCCTTGGGGAGTGATATTATATAGCTTACTATAGTATTCTTTAAATACTTTTGCAATACCCTTAGTTGAATACGTTAGTTCTCCTTTATTATCTCTTATTTTTTCTATATACCGTATTTTTCGCTCCATAAGACGCACTTTTTTTCCCCCCCAAAAAAGGGGGAAAATGTCAGTGCGTCTTATGGAGCGAATATAAAGCGGCCGGTCACGTATTTCCGCCGCCACCCATGTCAGAATACCGGGCCGGCCGCTCAGCTGTTCTCTGCGGCAGGAACTCACCTGTTCCTCGGTCCAGCGCTGTAGTCTTCCCGCGCTGGCTTCTTCCTGCCCCGGCATCTGTGACAGCCGGGTGCCCACTGTGCATGCGCGAGAAGCGCTGCGCTTTGTGAATGGTCCGGTGTCTTCTGGGACACATGACAGGTCCCAAAAGACACCGGGCCATTCACAAAGCGCAGCGCTTCTCGCGCATGCGCAGTGGGCACCCGGCTGTCAAAGTAGGGTGCCCACAGTATAGGAAGGAAAACTCCGTGGAAGTGGGAGCGGGTACCTGTCAAATTCAGGTACCCGCTCCCCCTCCCTCCCTAAAGGTCCGCAGTGTCTGGTCATGCCCTGTACTGTCTGCAGTCTCTGGTCATCCTCTGTACTGTCTGCAGTCTCTGGTCATCTCCTGTACTGTGTCCGCGGTCTCTGGTCATCTCTTGTACTATGTCCGCAGTCTCTGGTCCATCTCCTGTACTATGTCCGCAGTCTCTGGTCATCTCTTGTACTGTGTCCGCAGTTTCTGGTCAACTCCTGTACTATGTCCGCAGTCTCTGGTCATCTCCTGTACTGTGTCTGCAGTCTCTGGTCCTTCTCCTGTACTGTGTCCGCAGTCTTTGGTCATCTCTTGTACTGTCTGCAGTCTCTGGTCATCTCCTGTACTGTGTCCACAGTGTCTGGTCACTTCCTGAACTATGTCTGTAGTCCATTGGTTCAGAATATTTTTTTTCTTGTTTTTCTCCTCTAAAACCTAGGCGAGTCTTATGGTCAGGTGCGTCTTATGGAGTGAAAAATATGGTAGTTTCTAGATTTCTTCTTTCTCTGAGCCATCATTAAATATTTTCCTGGTCTATCTCCCCACCAATATCTTTCACTTGTCATCTTATCAAACACTCTCCTCTTTTCTTCCTCCAATAGGTTATTTAGTTCTTCTCGTTTATTTATTACGCTCTGCTTAATCTCTTTTGTTATTCTCTTTTTATGTACCTGTTCTAATTCACATAATTCTCTAAGAAGCATATTTATTTTTTCTCTTCTTTCTTTTTTTTTTTCTTCACCCCAATCACTATCAAGATTCCTCTAATATATGCCTTATGAGCTTCCCACACCGTTGCTACTGACACTTCTTCAGTCTCATTTCTTTCAAAATATTGCTCTATTTCTTTTTTAACCTTCTGTTCCGTCTCATGATCCTGAAAAAGTGTCTCATTTAATCTCCATGTGTTTCCTTTATTTTGCTCTTTACCCCATAATAACTTAATTGTGACAGATGCATGGTCCGATATTGTTATAGGTTCTATATTTACTTTAATTCTCCATATATCTATCAGATGACACTGGTGTAACTTTTTCCTCAAGGATTTCAAGTACTTACTTCCGTCTCTCTGCACAGGTGACGTCGTGTCTGTCTGAGGATCCATGCAAAAATTTAAATCTCCTGCCACAGTTAGTTTACCTTTTTTAACCACCTCCCGCCCGCCATACAGTAATATGACGGGCGCAAGGTGGTTCTCTCATTCTCACCGCGCTTGCGCGGCTCAGGGAGCGCACAGCGTGGTGATCGGCGGTGCGCTGTGTCCCTCGGACTCAGTGGATCACCGATCATGGAAAGAGCCATAGATGTCGGCTCGGTCATGTGATCAGCAGTGCCCAATCACAGCTGATCACATGTAAACAGGGAAATGCCGGTTATCGGCATTTCTCTCCTCACGAGCTGCCATGTTGACAGCTCGAGAGGAGAGGAGAGCTGGTAATTGGCTTTCCGCAGAGGGGACATGTACACTGATCATCAGTGCACTGATGGGCATTGATTTCGGTTGACCATCCCCTCCTCCTCAAAAACTACACTCTCTTGGCCTCAGAGACTCTGCTCTTTCCTGGTTCTCCTCCTATCTATCGCAGCGCTCCTTCAGTGTTACCTATAATGCTACCACCTCCTCTTCACTCCCTCTCTCTGTAGGGGTCCCTTCTCTTCTCCATCTACACCTCCTCCCTTGGTCACTTCATAAACTCCACGGCTTCAATTACCATCTCTATGCTGATGACATGCAAATCTATCTGTCTACCCCTCACCTCACCCCTTCAGTCTCCACCCTCATCGCTAGCCTACTAAGTGACATATCGGCTTGGATGTCACTCCACTTCCTCAAACTCAACCTTTCCAAAACTGAGCTCCTAGTATTCCCCCCTGCCCGTGCCACCTCCACTGACTTCACCATAACTATCGATAACACAATCATCAGTCCATCCCCTCATGCCAGGGTACTAGGTGTAATCCTAGACTCCCATCTGTCCTTCCAGCCTCAGATCCAATCGCTGACAAAATCATGTAGACTACACCTCTGCAACATCTCCAAGATATGGCCATTCCTAACCCCAGAAACCACTAACAAACTTATCCACTCCCTTGTCATATCATGCCTCGACTATTGTAACTCCCTGCTCATTGGCCTACCTCACTGCAGGCTATCCCCCCTCCAGTCTATCATGAACGCTGCTGCCAGACTCATCCACCTCACTAACCGTTCTGTATCTGCCACCCCTCTCTGCCAATCCCTCCACTGGCTCCAGTTGCCAAAGGATAAAATTCAAAACACTATGACATACAAAGCCATCCACAACACTGCCCCAATTTACATATCCAATCTTATCTCTAAATATCACCCAAACCATACACTCCGCTCCTTGCAAGACCTTCTACTCTCTAGCTCTCTTATCTCCTCCTCCCATGCTCGTCTCCAAGACTTCTCCAGGGCGTCACCCATCCTCTGGAACTCCCTACCCCAATCTATCAGACTATCACCTACTCTACTTACCTTTAGGCGATCACTGAAAACCTATCTCTTCAGGGAAGCCTATCCCACTCTCTGCTAATATTGGAGTCCTCTACTTTGCAACCACTCCATCCCCCACAGTTTTTACCTATTGTACCATTCACCTCTCCCTCCTAGATTGTAAGCTCCAAGGAGCAGGGCCCCCAATTCCCTCTTGTATTGAACTGTATTGTTACTGTATTGTCTCCCACTATAATGTAAAGCGCTGAGCAAACCGTTGGCGCTATATAAATCCTGTATAATAATAATAATAATCAGTGATGCCTGTCAATGCCCATCAGTGCCACCTACCAGTGCCTCCTCATCAGTGCCACCTATCAGTGTCCATCAGTGCAGCCTATCAGTGCCCATCACTACAGCCTCATTAGCGCACATCAGTGAAGGAGAAAAATCACTTATTTACAAAGGTTTATAACAAAAACTAAGAAAAAACTTTTTTTTTTCTAAATTTTCAGTGGTTTTTGGTTTGTTTAAGAAAAAATAAAAAACCCAGAGGTGATTAAATACCAGCAAAATAAAGCTCTATCTGTGTCAAAAAATGATAAAAATTTCATATGGGTACAGTGTTGCATGACCGCGCAATTGTCATTCAAAGTGTGACAGCGCTGAAAGCTGGAAATTGGCCTGGGCAGGAAGTGGGTATAAGTGCCCTGTAGGTTTGTGGTTAAAATCCACTAGTTTCCTTAGAGTATTTTTTAGATATACCTCAGGTTTTTTTATTGGGGCAGTAAATATTTGCCAATGTACATTCTATTTCCTGCAATTCCCCTCTAAGAACAGGAATCTCCCCTCCGGATCTTCTATCTTTTCTTCCAACTTAAACCTTATATTTTTTGCAAAGCCTATTGCAACACCCTTAGCATGTTTAATTGGGGAATCTGCATAAAACCAGTTTGGATAGTACCTAGATTGTAACTTTACTTTTGTTTCTTGCACTAAAGGTGTTTCCTATACAAACACCACTGCAGAAAATCGTTGTTGTATTTCTTTGAAGATCTTAAATCTTTTCCCTGGGCTATTTAATCCCTTAACATTATAAGTCACAAAATTAACCTCATCCATTTTTATCATACTTTTCCATTCCTTCCCTAGGATTCTCCCTGACTGGTCCACCTCTATCTTTCTCGTGGAGCCCTAAACTCCTCCCTACTCCCTCACCCCCCCTCCCGCATCCCTCCCCATCACCTTTTAGGCTTTTAGTTTGCCTATGAATAATTTGTGGCCCTATTCCCACCATTGATTCAACCTTAAGGTGGAGCACTGATCATGCACACCTTTCCAGTTTGTGTATCCCATCCCCCATATTCTAGAAACTCTATAACCAGAAGAAAGGCGAAGGAGGAGAGGAGAAAAAAAAAATTGTATCACTTCCTCGCTCCAAATATGAGGGAGAGAGGAAAAAAAAAAAACAACCACACACCTCCACTCCTCCTACTTTCTATTCCTTTCCTTTGGGCTGCCTGCCACTTCTCTTTTTCCATATCCCCCATCTCCCTTTCCCCTCCCTCCCATCCGGAAATAACTATTTTCTGCAACTCAATTCTCTCACAAAAGTCTCTTAAATCTTCAGGAAACTTCAATCTTGTTGAACGACCATTTTTCCATCCTATTAAACTAGCTGGGAATCCCCAACTATATCTAACGCTCTGCTTTCTCATTTGTTCTAATAATGGCTTCAAGGTTCTCCTTCTATTTAATGTTTCTGCTGCTAAGTCAGCAAAAATCTGTATATTTTCTTCACCATATTTTATTACTGCTCTTCCTTTTATCTCAAGGATGATAAAGGTAAGCTAAACCCATGCTAACCCATCCACCCCCCCACACCCTCCTATGTGAAATGATATGCCCTTTTTTATTTAATAATTTATTTTTTTATCTATACATGCTATCACTTACTAGACTCACCCACCATCCCTCTCCTCCTTCTGTGTCCTACAAGAAGGATAATAAGACTACATGGGGACACACAAGTAGATAGGTGTCAGCATGTCACAAATACATGAGAGCACTCTCTGACCCGTAGTACTCAATACTGTATGGATGATGTAAATAAAAATATGCATATGTTTTAAAAAATACAAGGCTTGTTATCAATAAAGTATTTTTTATTACACCCTTCACCCATCAACTATATTTCATAGCATCCCCAGGATCTCTTCCCACATGCATTGGCCTGGCTACCCTAGCGTCTTTACAGACGAGTTTAGGCCGAGTGATTGGATAGATGCTGTGTCCTCCTATTAGGTAGTTCTGGTAAATCTAAAGGAGACCATACAGAGATTGTACAATCAGATTGTATAGTGTCTGGCCATCTTTATACACCTAAAATTTCCTAATTGCGCTTTCAGTGTAATTAATTGTTAAAGGTACACCAAACACAGAAACAAGCACACGTTTTGCCACATGAAAAAATGGGTGACAAAGGCAGCAAAACGCGCAGTAAAAATTGTGCAATACACATCACCCAAAATGTCCCAAATGGCTACTTTGCTACGTGTTTGTCGCTGGAAAAAAACAGGCCAAAAAACATGCGCTCCTTCTAATCTCAGTGTGAATGAGGCCAGGAAGCGAAACTGGTGTGTTTACACAGAACAATGAGGCTCCATTCACATCTGTGTGTTTCCGAACGCATGGCAAACTGCACAGAAAATGGAGACTTTGCCATGTGTGTCAGGAACATGCTGCAAATGTGCAATGTGTTTGTGTTGTCGTTACATGTTAAGGGCACCCCAAGTATGGCAAACATAGCAAACACTACGGGAACTCACTGTGCTCTGCTCCAAAAACAGTTCTGGAGCTTTTCTGGGTCAATTGTTGCGTGTATG